GCCAGCCTCCAACGACCCTGCCCATGCGGCCACCCACCCACCCAAACCTGTCTACTCCAACTACTCGTACTCGAGCTCCACAGTTGTGGACGACAAGGGTCGCCGCGTCCGCAGTGTCCGTCGCCGCTACGAAGACGCCAACGGTCGGCTCAAGGCTGTGCACGAGCGCGAGCTCGACGGCAAGTCCCTCGTGACGACGTGGAACAGAGCCACCAAGGACGACGAGGGCACCCACGAGACGATTTGCTCGGAAGGCGTGGCGTCGGCGGAGGAGTTTGAAGGGCTGTGGAAGGACACGCCGTTTGCCAAGGCCCAGAAAGCGGGCGAGCCGCTGCCGGCGTCCGACAACACGAAGACGCTGCCGAAAGAGGACAATCCTGCCATCGAGCCGGCCACCCAACAGGATGCCACCATGTCGTAAGCTGACTGGGACTGCACCTGCCCACCGCAATTTGCATTGTCAATCGTGTCGATAATCCTAATTTACACTGCATGTCGTCACCTGTCGGACCATCAACAACAACCCACGCGCAACTACCACTAGAACAGGACGAACACTACACCAAACGCACGAACAACCTTACAACGACGTAAAGTTCTTGTGGTACGACACGTTGGCGAACGTGATGCGCTGGTACCTCGAGCCAGCAGGGCAGTACGGGAACTTGACGCCGTCCCACGTGGGCTTGGGCGAAGGACCGGAAGGCGGGTTGAACAGCGGGTCCGCCGACACGTACGTCACGTACACACCGAGGAAGAGCGACGCGGCGATCGCAAAGTACGCCCACACCTTCTCCGGCCACGACACGCGGTCGCCAAAGTGCTTCAAGTAGAACACGATCGGCAAGATCATGCACGACATGGCGATGCAGGACGCCCCCGAAAAGTCGAGCAAGTCCAAGAGGCGCTCTTCCCACGCGCACGCAATTGCGACAGTGGCAACCACGACGACAACCCGAAGGGCCGCGATCTTGGGGTACACGCCGGGCTGGCGGTACGTGGCCGCGTCGCGGTCATGGGCCTCGATGTCTTTCGCCACGGCCAGCGCTTCCCCGTCCTTCTCAACGCCCGGGGTCTCCACCTTGTCGTAGCCGGCCTCGACCTCCAACGCAAAGTTGTGTT